TGGTGCAGTAATCTGATATAATCAACAGGAGATAGAGGAACTGATTTTAATTCTTCTGACACCATAACAGTAAATTTAATTGTATCCCATGTAATTGTTCTGAGTGTCTGAAGAGGGTATTGCTGTAGTACTTGCTGATGTATATTGAAGGCTATTTGAAGATAATATGTAATTGCTCCTATCGTGCTGAAATTGTGTGGGACTAATTTAATAATCCTTTATATTCTGTTCATATGCTTTTCAAACGTGCTTAAATATGTTGGTCGAATTTCATTTTTCGGTAACCCAGTGAAAGAAAGCTAAATACTCTCATTGGCTTTTTATTAACAGAGACACTCATATGACCTATCTTCCACATTCCCTGTAGGTCACTTCCTTCTAATGCAGTTGAGAAAAGTATTGCCAGCTCACTCTTTTTCTCCTTTTGTTATTTGATCATGTCCTTTGGTTTCTTATATCAACATGATTTTTTTAGATCACTATTTTTTAACTCTTTGTTTTTGAGTAGTTTTATATATACAAGTAATATTTTTAAATAGCTTTACCTTTAATTGTACTATATGGCCCTTGTGAAATCATTTATATAAGAATGTAACATATTTGGTTACATTACATTACATTATATTATGTATATTAATACCTGGCAAGAACCATTCAAATTATAATATTTCTTTATTTATTATAAAACTATCTTTGAAAGGTAACTGATTGATTAAATGCTAAATAACTTTACCTGAGAACTTTGACTATGTTTTATATATCCATATATTTCAAATGACTAACACAGTGATGTTCATACAATATATTCTTGATTTTTTTAAAAAAATTCTTAATGAAATGAATTTAGAGTTCAAATGCTATTACTACATAGGCTATGTGAGGCATCCATAAGAATTATTCAACATAAAATCAACTTAACACCCATGATAGAAGAAAAGACAACCTTTGGGTTAGAAATTGTGTAAACTGATTGTTGCAGAATGGTTAGGCTACAGTTACAAAGACTTTTTCTCTGTGTTTTTGGTGTATGTCCTCTGTTTACAGCTGTACATTTCCAGACATGTTTGAAAAGCATGGATTTATGGGATTTATAGCTACCTATTGTGCCATCTACTTTCAGTAACAGTTGGTTTCCTAAATGAATTGGCAAGTAGGCATATCACAGTGTTTTGTTTTATTTTTTATGATGTTATAAATAGTTTGCAAGAAAAAAAAAAGAAAGAAGAGTTTGCTTCTGAGCAGAATAGGAAAATCTTTATGCCTGAAGTGGCTTTTGGCAAAGCTTTAAGAACCATTACTCCTATAAAGGACAAGATATGGTTTGAATAATTTAGTAGTGCTAAGATGTCATATTTTTGAGACGTCTATTTTATGGCTTTCCTGAATAACTGAGCCAAACACCTCTCCCAGGAATTTAACAACTTTTGTCTTTAAATTCCTAGGTAAATAATAAATTGTCTTCCTCTTTGAATAAAAGTTGCCATGACAACTTGGCAAGCTTGGGCTATAGAAGTCAAACACCAAGAAGTCAAAACGCTTTAACTGTCAGTATTTTCAAAGATTTTATGTTGTTTTGAGAAGCTCTGATTTAAGTGAAAATGAAGGTGTATGTTCACATAGCCATATCAGTAATTGTAATTACTGATTACTGATAAAAAAATGTATATTTTTGCAGCGAATCCATTGTTTAGCATAACAATACTCTTATTCTTTATGTTAACTTCAAGACTGTGTCTTGATTAATTACAGGGATTTAGGGGTTAAGGGAAATACCAAAGTCATTTTAGATATGTTGATTGCAACAATTATACTGAGCTCTATACTGAAAGTTTGTGATATTAAAGAAAATATCTATCTGGCAATTGTATAAGAATTTGGCAGCATCGTAAAATCTATTACATAATTCATCTCAAGATTACATCTCTGACCTCAGTGTTGCTGAACTCTTTATAAAAATACTAGCAATAGGGAAAAAAGATTAAATTTTTAATTTAAACTCATTGAACATTTTCTTCAAAACCACCCTTTTGTACCATTCACTGAAAAATCAAATGAATCATTGTTGTTTGTTATTCAGACTTGATGATTTCTGGCAGGTTAAATACAAGTTTTCATTCCTTCTGTGTGATTTGCTAGACTACCAGATGGGAATGGGAGATGTTTGTTATCTAGATCTATAAATCTGCAGATAAGGTTGTCTTATTCAATATTGCTGAAGTCTCTTTTTGTGAAAGTTAAGGAAACTTGTTTGTCAGTTAGGGTTCTTTTGGTTGATAATAACTCAACTCAAGGTGTTTTAACAATAGAAGAGATTTAATGGTTCATCTAAGTGGTTGAACAAGCCCAGGAGTTGGTGCACTTAGATATACTTGGTCAGGGATGTGGCTTTTTCTTTGCATTGCTTATGGTTCTGTCCTTATCTATGTTTGCTTTATCTTCAGGCAGGATTCCCTCTTGGTAGCAAATGGTGGCAATAGTTCCAAGTCTCATATTTACACATCTCAGCAATCAGAATCAGGGAAATTATCTCCTCTCTACCTAATCTCCAAGATGTCTCACTATTTGGTCCTTCTTAGGTTATGTGCTCATCATGCCCACCAACCATTGTTGCCAGTGGAGTGACACCTGTAGAATGGCTTGTGCCCAGTGTCAAGGAGGGTACTTACCACTGAAAGCTTCCAATGGCGAAGCACCAGACAATGAGAAGGAGTTGAAGGCACAACCACAATGCTTGTTACTCTCCTAGAACCCAAGCAATCAGTGTCGTCAGGTTCTGGAAGGGAGGGCTGGAAAATCATTAGGATAGAAGCTCTCTTGAGTTTCATAGAATCTTATTCCTACTCCTTTTTTTGTATCTCCTTTTTTCTTTTTTCTCTGCAGAACTTTCTTATCTTTCATCGTGGGTATACTTGTAATTTGTACATGATACCTAGAGTTTAATTGGAGATATAGGATTTTTTTTTTTAATTTACTGTTAACATTTAATCAACATCTTTTCTCAAGATGTACATTTGGAGTCATATTTTTTCTTTTATTCATGAAGCAAAATCTATTTAGAATATTGCTTAGAATATTCCTTTCCTTCATGTAGTCTCATGTGTATGTATGTATATATATTATATATATAATATATATATAATATATATGTATATGATGACTTGTGAAAAGGTACATGGTATTCTTATTTTGACTGGATTTCAAGAATAATTATATTTTATTTAATTAGCACTTAAGTAATAAATGCATTAGACGAAATTCCATCCAAAAATTTATTATTCAAATCATAGACCCTCTATTCACTAAACATTAATCTTACATATACCTGAATATTTTTAAATGCATTCTGTTTAGTGACTTCTCAAACTGATAAGCACATTTACATTTCATGATAAAACAAACAACAAAAAAACTAATTGTGATTCAAATTAGTCAAGAATCATGTGATTTTTCTAGGTGTTCCTCAGCAAAATTGCTTTTTAAAACATTTAAATCTCTTCATTGAGTGAGAAACCTGAAAAATAAAGGTTTTGTGACAGGTACCATGTTGTCATCAATAATGAGAATTTAAATAAAAGTAGAATTTAACAACCCAAATTATAGGGGAAAGATGTATTATCTCAAATTTCTAGGACCATTAAATGAAAGCAGCGCCTAATATAACCCTAGTTTAAAAGGAGAAGTTTGAATTTGTTGTCACTCAATAGTAATTACAGTTCAGGCTTTCAGAAAATACTAGTTCCAAAAGTGACATTTTTTGTTTGGGCAGCAGCAATCAGAGAGAGCCCTAACATTACTGTTTTAGAAAAGACTATTGTACGCAGATTGTTCATTTGCCTTTAAGTTTTGTCTGTATAACAGTTTATTTTAAAGAGGCTTATTACTTTTATATTTTTAAAATCTAATTCATTTTCTTTAGAGGTTATTTAACTCATTTGGCTATTTTGAAGAATACTAACACTTCTAATTTCAATAGTCATTTTTGTTTGTTCTTTTATGAATTTTAGGAACACCTTTGTTCTTGTTTTTCTTTTGAGGGCTTTTTTCTTCTTTTTAATGAAACTCTGTGTAACTCTAAATTATATAAGTTTGATATATAATGATTTAAATGCTTCACGTAAAAAGGGGGTCAGAAGGAAGAAAAAACATTTTTTGATCCTAGGACAATTAAAGGTATTACAAAAATGTAACTCATGTGAAAAAACATCCATTAAATGTTGCACTCTGAATTCACCTGAAAAAGAAAAAAAATGCTACAAGTAGATTCGTCTTAGAGGTATTATTTTAAATAGCAGTCAGTATCAACACAAAGCTTATAACAAGAACCATGTATGATTACCTCTATCTTTGCTTGACACACTCTCATTTTTAGGATAAAAGAAAATATTTATACAACTCTAGGGAAAAAGCAAAATAAACTGATAAAATGGAGAAATTTCAAGAAGCCATAGTCAAAAGTAAAATATACTTTTTTACCTTCTAAAATAGAAATTAGAGTGCTTTAGGCAAATTTAGCTAATACTGAGTAGTCACTGAAAAAAATGAATGCTTCTCTTTTTTTCCTCCCTTTATTGAGATATAATTGATATGTAACGTTGTGTAAGTTTAAGGAGTACAACACGTTGATTTGATACACTTACATACTGTAAAAGCTAGCCACCATAGCATCAGTTAACATCTCCATCATGTCACATTATTATCATTTCATTTTTGTGGTGAGAACATTTAAGATCTATAATCTTAACCTTAGATTCCCCAGAACTTAATCGTCTTATAACTGGAAGTGTGTACCTTTTGACCAACATCTCCCCATTTCACCCCCTTCCAGCCCCTGGTCACCACCATTCTAATCTGTTTCCATGAGTTTGGCTTTTTTAGATTCCACACATAAGGGATGTCACTCGGTATTTATCTTTCTCTGACTTATTTTACTTAGCACAACACCCTCAAGGTCCATCTGTACTGTCCGTGTCCTTCATGTGCATTATTCTTTATTATTATAGGAGGACACAGATCATAATTACTATATATCTCGGATATATGGTCCATCTGATTCTGCCAGCCGGGATTTGTGGGTGAACATAGACCAAATGGAAAAGGACAAAGTGAAGATTCATGGAATACTGTCCAATACTCATCGACAAGCTGCAGTAAGTGCTTTGACATTTTGAGTTTCTTTTTCTTCTTCTGTAAAAAAAAAATTTGCTTTAATTGACATATTAACATTGTTGTGATCACTTTTCAAGTATATTAGTTCTGCAATTGCAGTTTAGATTAATAATTCATGTAAGATGTTATAGAAAATGATAAAGAATTATTTTGAGAAGCCACCATTAATTTAACCATTAATTAATTAATTAACCATTAATTTCTCCAGTAAGTATGATAAGTTGCATATTCAATTTAAAGTTGTGATTTATCTTGGATGACTTTCAGTTTCCATGTAATTAGAGAACATGCATGTAATCCATGCATTTAGAGAACATTTTTTAAAAATTATATTAATTTGCTATCTTCCATTCTACAAGAGTTTATTACCGTTGGTCTGAAAAAGATTTAACCAGAAACATTCACAATTCAGATAACACATGTAGACCAAATTATGGATTTATGTGAAGAAATTTAATATAAAAGAAAATAATTATGTGAATAAATTTAATATAAAGAAAATAATTAAATCTAGAAGACACCAAACATATTTTAAGTCTGAGCTTAAATCATTTACCTGTGGTGGTTCCTTAAACAAACAATTTAACTATTCTGAGGCACAGTTTCTGAATCTATATAGGGGGGATGACAGGAGATATGAATACAAACCTCACTTAGCTTACATGGTCACTGATACCGTGTTCTGTGTGTCAGGTTGAATGCTTTCATGGATTAGCTTTTTCAATCTTCACAACAATTCTATGATTTAAATATTATAACCACCTAGGTATTGAAGATAAGAGAACTTAATCTTGGAAAAATCAGCCTAAGGGTCTCCTGCTAGTAAGTTCTGTGACTCAGGCGTTAACCTAGGCAGTCAATTCCCCATTCAAAATGCATGTGTAAAAGTTATCACACTTGGTTCACAGAATGTTCTTTGATAATCACTTTATCAAAGATGATGCCTGATTTAACATTTTAAAAGTTATTTGGTTTTGTTGCCATGGATTATAGTGGTGATCTTACTATCAGTGAAGCCATGTCTTGTTCAGTTTATCATGACATAAAGAGAAAACAAAATAACTTTAACATTTCAAGGGCTATTGCCATTATTGATACAAAGATAGAACTAATAGAGTAATGGCCAATCTGATTTAAAGAGGCATTGATTCGATAAATTTAAAATATCAAAAATTCTGGCCAACAGCCTTCATTGTATATATGTAGATGTTCCTATGTCAGGAGATTGACTTCTAACAGTTAAAATGGAAATTAATTATAATTCACCGTGATGATTCATTGAGGCTGAGAAGCAAACGAAGCAGCCACCTCCCCTTGATGAATTCCATCATCCCTTTTCTTTTCCATATTCAAGCAGTCTCAGAGAAGATGACAGATTCAGAAATGATTCACTGTCTGGCTTAGAACAGATCTTCAAAAGAAGAGAAAATGAGAAAGATTAGATTAGGACCATGTTTTTTCAGGAATATATTGCATTTGACAATCTTCCCACTGTATTGCAGTCCCTAATAGTGTAAAATATACTTTGTAAGAGTTTGAACGTTTGTGTATCCACATTGAGATTCCATGAAGTGGCCCAGTTCTGGTGTCGGCCACTGTGGGTGATATCTGTAAGCAGAGAAAGAAGTTCATCAGTTAAAATATTAGCTGATTTCTTCTTACACTTGCTCTTGTGCTCTCCCAAAGGGGAGGCAGTTCATGTGTCCTGCCTTTCCTCAAAGAAGATTGGTTTCTCTTTGGAATAGGGGTTGCTTGGCTGCCTTGTAACAGCTCTCTGATAGTCTCAAGAAATATTATGATGATATAAAGATCCATTTTTTTATAATTGTGATTTTGAGAGTGACACTGTTTGTTGCTCTCAACACCAAAGGTTGGCTTAAACACAAATGGAAAGACTTGAGCTTGTAACTTATCTGGTGCTCCATGCATTGATTTTTAAATATATATCACTGATTTTAGCTACTCTGCACTGGTTTTCCATGAGAATCTAAGCCATTGTCAAGTATTTCTTAGTGTTAGAAATTGGTCCTGTACCCACATTCTCTATCATCACCAACAGAACATACATACACACACACACACACACAAGCGCTCACAGGTACACAATTTCCATTTACAACAATAGAATTGATAATATTACTTAGTTACTTATTTTTGGAAAAATTTGCCACTTAGACTCCTTCATTTAAGGAGTTTTATACCTTGGAACTTATAAATTTACTTAGTGGAATATTTTATAAAAATTTTGTACATTCTTTCATAAGTATGATTGTTGAATATTAGTTTGAAGATTTCCAAATTGTAGAGAGTGATCCATTTTTTAATATTTCTTCCATTGGCCTCCCCATCTTTCCAATCCTGCCTTGTTCTGTTGGCTCCATTTCTATTATGCCACCCTTGGAGTAGAACCAGGTTTTAGAGGTGATGACAGAATTGTAGTGTTAAGGTATTGTTATGGCCAGGGGCTCAACGATGCCCATATACACCCTCTTCCTCCTGGCCCTCTCCACACACACAGCATAGGCACCCAGCCACAGCTACCCTCCCCCCTGTGATGACTACTGAGAGGCTTAACCACAAGGGATAATGGCAAACGGGAAACAATGATTCACTTCACTGATTAGGTTCCCTGAAATCATAATCATCAAAATCCTTGATGCAAAGCTCTCTGGTAGTTTGGCTGGAAACAGGATTTAACTTTAAGCCCGAAGGGAAGAGGGGGGTTTCTTAAATCTTACCACCAACTGATGTAATTTGCATACCCAAGGGCATCCTTTCTGTCAACAAATTAGACAAAAAAGAGAATAGAAAGATATAGCCTAGGATAAGACTCAGGGGGCAGTTGGTTAACAACCCAGACCTGGGCAAACAGGAAAGGAAGTGAGAAAGCTGAAGATTGGATTTCCTGAAGATATAGTTTCCCTCCCCTTTCCCAGCTGAATGGGTCAGAGGAAGATATGGGAGTGTCTGACCTGGAAACATAATTTTTTAAAGAAATATTTTCCCCTTCACCACCTTCATTTGTAAATGTGGTCCAAACAGTATTTTGGAATCTTAGATTAATTTTCTAGAAAAGGAGGAATGTGGAAATAGAGTAAGAGTTTTCCCTTTTCTCCCATCCACAATAATAATACTGTGAGAGCAGAGCAAAACTTAGTCATTTAATTCACATGCCGAAACACACTGATTTCTCTTTCCTTTTATAATGTAAAGTAAAATGATTAGTATTTATATTATACACACACACACACACACACACACACACACACACACACGTATATGGTCATTTGATTACATGTTCCTTCAGATCTCCCCGTTGTCCTTTTTGTTTAAATCTTTCCATTGTTCTTTTTAGTTTAAATAACATTTCTTAAATCATATTTGCAGTAAAAACAGATGTTAAAACCTAGTTTTACAGTTGGACACATTAAAGGAAGGAGCATGTCTTCATAGATAAAGAAAAGTGAAAATTTTGTATGATTCCTTATCATATGACAAGCAAAGAGCCAAGCCCCTTACATTCAAATACTGGTACTTATTTGGGTTTTTTTGTTCCTTATTCAAAGTTATCAGGTTGCAGATCTAGAAGTTTCTAACTAGAAACCTAGGAACCAGTCCAGACTTATTTTTCCTTCTATGAGGACCTTCAAATGCCACAATTTTGAGATTTTCTTATGTACTGTTAGATCCATATATTTTAGTTTATTGCTGGACACACAGTTTGATTCAACAACCAGACAAATTAGAATTATTTTGTCTTTTGAAACCACAGTTTATGAAATTCTTATTCACAACTTCTGGAGAAGTACCTCTGTCCCAGTAGAAGGAGTCTGGGGTTATAGAAGTTGTGAGACCTTGGCTCCAAAACTCATTTTCTCAGATTCTGGCCTCTTGGAGCTCAATTTTATAACCTGGAACGAAGGGAAAAATGCCTGCCTTGACAACCTTCCGGTGCTACTTCAAGAATAAAAATGGGGCTTCCCTGGTCCGCCTGCCAATGCAGGGACACGGGTTTGAGCCCTGGTCTGGGAAGATCCCACATGCTGCGGAGCAACTAAGCCTGTGCACCACAACTACTGAGCCCATGCACCACAACTACTGAAGCCCGCACGCCTAGAGCCCGTGCTCTGCAACAAGAGAAGCCACCTCAATGAGAAGCCCACGCAGCACAACGAAGAGTAGCCCCCGGGCTTCCCTGGTGGCGCAGTGGTTAAGAATCCACCTGCCAATGCAGGGGACGTGGGTTCGAGCCCTGGTCCGGGAAGATCCCACATGCCGCGGAGCAGCTAAGCCCGTGCGCCACAACTACTGAGCCTGTGCTCTAGACCCCGCGAGCCACAACTACTGAGCCCACGTGCCACAACTATTGAAGCCTGTGTGCCTAGAGCCCGCAACAAGAGAAGCCACCACATTGAGAGGGCCACACACCACAACGAAGAGTAGCCCCCGCTCGCCACAACCAGAGAAAGCCCGCGTGCAGCAACGAAGAACCAACACAGCCAAAAATAAATAAATACATACATTTATTAAAAAAAAAAAAGAGTAGCCCCCGCTCACCGCAAATAGAGAAAGCCCGCACACAGCAACGAAGACCCAAAGCAGCCAAAAATAAATAAATCTTAAATAAAGAAAAAGAATAAAAATGAGATATGAAAGGATGCTGAAAATAACAATGAGGTAGTAAGGCATTGTTTTTTGAGAGTCCTAATAAAAAATAATAACCCCCAAGTAAGTTAATTCCTAAGTAATCTCTAAGAGTCTCTTTCTACAGATATATATCTATGTATCTGTATAATATCTCTATATAATTTTCTGCCAAGAAATTGCCAGTCTGCTTTTTGCCAGACATAAACATACCCTGACTTTAAAAAAAAAATTTTTTTTTAAATTATCTTTCTATATGTTAGTAAGAAGATTGATTCTTTGTATAAGAAACACTAGCAAAATGAAGTGCTGCTCTCCTATGTCTCCGTCATAGAGC